CGGGTGTGCCCCTTGGTCTTCATTGGGCAGCGGCTCCGCCCCTTGGTGTTCATTGGGCAGCGGCTCTGCCCCTTGGTCTCCATTGGGCAGCGGCTGTGTCCCTTGGTGTTCATTGGGCAGCGGGTGTGCCCCTTGGTGTTCATTGGGCAGCGGCTGCGCCCCTTGGTGTTCACTGGGCAGCGGCTGTGCCCCTTGGTCTTCATTGGGCAACCACTGTGTCCCTTGGTCTCCATTGGGCAGCGGCTGTGCCCCTTGGTCTTCATTGGGCAGCGGCTGTGTCCCTTGGTCTTCGTTGGCCAACGGCTGTGTCCCTTGGTGTTCATTGGGCAGCGGCTGTGCCGCTTGGTGTTCATTGGGCAGCGGCTGTGCCCCATGGTGTTCATTGGGCAACGGCTGTGCCCCTTGGTGTTCATTGGGCAGCGGGTGTGCCCCTTGGTCTTCCTTGGGCAACGGGTGTGCCCCTTGGTGTTCATTGGGCAACGGGTGTGCCCCTTGGTCTTCATTGGCCAACGGCTGTGTCCCTTGGTGTTCATTGGCCAACAGCTCTGCCCCTTGGTCTTCATTGGGCAGCGGCTGCGCCCCTTGGTCTCCATTGGGCAACGGCTCTGCCCCTTGGTCTTCATTGGGCAACCGCTGTGTCCCTTGGTCTTCATTGGCCAGCGGCTCTGCCCCTTGGTGTTCATTGGCCAACGGCTGTGTCCCTTGGTGTTCATTGGGCAGCGGCTGTGTCCCTTGGTCTCCATTGGGCAACCACTGTGTCCCTTGGTCTCCATTGGGCAACCGCTGTGTCCCTTGGTCTTCATTGGCCAGCGGCTGTGTCCCTTGGTCTCCATTGGCCAACGGCTCTGCCCCTTGGTCTCCATTGGCCAGCGGCTCCGCCCCTTGGTCTTCGTTGGCCAATCCCTGTGGCCCGTTGGCCACCGTGCTCCGCCCCTTGACCTTCCCTGGCCGGTCTCTGCAGCTCATTGGCAGAGGCCGTGGCCTCTTGGTCCTGGTTGGCCAATCCCTGGAGCCCGTTGGCCGCCGGCGTCACGGGTTGGTCCTCGCGGGCTCTGGGCCAAGGGCGTGGCCRGGCAACGTCCTCATTGGCCGCCGCCCCCGCAGCCGAACGCCGCTGTGACCTCATCGCTGACGTCAGCACCCACCCCTCGCCATGACGTCATCGACGTCGTCATGGACTCCTCGCCATGACGTCATCACCGACCTCACCATGGACACAGTGCCATGACATCACGGGTGACATCATCAGGGACCCGTCACCGTGATGGCAGAGATGACCTCATCATGGACCTGTCACCGTGACGTCACAAGTGACCTCATCAGGGACCTGTCACGATGACATCATGGGTGGCATCATCACGGACCACCCCCCCCCCAGGGCCCCTGCAGCCCATTGGCCGGCACTAGGGGTGGAGCCTGAGCTCCTCACAAGCCCATTGGCTGGCACTGGGCGCGGGCGGGACCAATAAAGACGCCCTGGCGGGAGTCACGTGTCGTCCTTGGGGTCAAGGGCCGGAGGGGGAGGGGCTCGGGCCAATCAGCGGCGGCTCCGGGTCCCTGGGTGGGGCTCTTGGCCCCGCCCCCTCTTTGTCCGGGCCTATGGGGACACTCGCAGGCTCTGCAGCCAATCACAGGCAGCGCCTTGTCCCGTTCGGCTGTCAATCACTTCTGCTGGCCAGTCAGGATAAAGGTGTGGGGGGAGAGTGGCCTCCTGGCCAATCAGGGTGCTCCTCCCGCCTCCGGTTCCTGCCCAGCTGCCAATCATTCCGACTGGCCAATCAGCAACGAAGGAGAGAGAAGGTGGCGGCCTCACAGCCAATCAGGAAGCACTTCCTGCTTCCCAGTCYGTGCCTGCTGCCAGTCATTCCCGCTGGCCAATCAGGAAGGAGGGAGGCGGTGGTTTGCGGCCTCCCGGCCAATCAGAGCGCGTTTCCTGCGCCCTTTTCCCGCCTTGCCGTCAATCATTCCTGGTGGCCAATCAGGATACGAGGAGCGATGGAGACGGAAGCGTTTTGAGCTTTTCCAGCCAATCAGGGTGCACTTCCTGCCAGTTCCCGCGCGGCTGCCAATCATCCTTCCGACGGCCAATCAGGTAAGGGGGGCGGTGACGGTTTCCCACGCGGCGGCCAATCAGAGCGCGGCACTGGGTGTGCGGAGGGAGGGGAGGCAGGGGGCGGGGCGCGGCTTCACCCCACGTGGGCGCGACAGCCAATGA